AGCTGATCATTTCCATCTATTAAATGTTAAAATCGTATTTCATGATTTTTTAGACTAATATGGATATAAAGCAAGACGGCGAAGGTCCTCGGATATCAAAAGTTAAACGGGACCAATTTGATTGATGGGACCAATACTGGATACTGAACTATCGAAACTTGCATTTCGATTCTCAATCGATCTTGTCCTAGCCTCAGTTACCTATTCGCTTGATAACATTCAATCGCTGGTGGTTGTCAAGCATCAGCTGATGATGGAGACACGTAATTCGCCCAGTATCGAATTGGTTTTTGTAATGATTTGATCTTTTATAGAAATTTTCAACTCACGAATATAGTTATGCTATTAATTCCCTTATTTCACCCGTATAACCATTATGAGTGTCTTGGCCGTTGGATTACAGCGGTAGATTTTTTTGAAAATTTGACTAAACCGAACATTAATTTTGGAGATTAAATTGGGTTGGGGACAAGTCTATCGAAATACGTGTGGTTGAATGAAAATTCGGCCGAATTCGAGGGATCCATAATTTCTACCTACTGACTATTGAAAATACTGCGTTAGTAAGTTACCAAGAAACGCGTCGACCACGGTAATGTCCAATCAGAGGGTGTATTATTATCAAATGTTAATGGAAGGCATGTAGAAAAGACGGATTGAATTTTCTAATCTATTATTCCCTTTTTCGAAAGGATCTTGTTTATAAACACTTTTGACTATATACCATATGCTAGAAACTCTTGAATTCTTCCATCAAATGCTATTAATTCATAATTCAAAAATGGAGTTCAGCAATTGAAATTTTCCCCCTTACTATAAACCATGGAATAAGAACGATCCCAATGTGTAAAAATAATCGGTATTTTTGGCCTAAAATTCAAACATTGAGCGATTATGTTATCATTCTAAATCTTTTTTCCACTGAAGATCAGAGGCACTTGATTAAGAATTACATAGACATCTATTTTTGAACGAAGATAGAGATCATCAAATTTTCGTCATCATGCAAATGATGTATGTAAAATGATGCATGATGTACTTCATGGATGAGAAGAATGTAAATGAAGCAAAATATATGAATATCTAATATGTGACAACGTTTCTCTTTCTACTAAATCGGGATATTGTCTGTCCATATAGACTGTTGCCCTACTTATTATCTCCTGAATTGGTGGAACCTCTTTTCATTTTGTACTAAGGAAATAATTAGTTGCAAATTAAAATTATGGAGAATAATGATAAGGTCATCAATCTTATTTTCCAATTGCGATTCCGTAAGCAATGTCTTGTACATTCATTTCTATACTGCTGATATTTTAAATATAGTATATTAAATGTTGCTGACATTACTATTAGACTCTACCATGGCAGACAGACGGCCTATGCAATCGTTTTGTTTTGATGCGTGCAGGAATAAGTCACAACTGTTTATGCACATGAAAATTTAGAAGGACGAAATTTGATTCATCCTAATTTGATAGGAGCCTAAAGCTAAACTAACGATGTACTCTGTTTTATCGATCGACTTTCAGGACAAATCAACTTTCAATCGTTCGTAAATTTGAGTTTCCACAAATTTTTATACTTTCTATTTCGGACTCTTTTCTAATGAATATGTTATATTTTCGATGAGCAATTTTATAAGACAAAAATGGATTGCTCCAATATAATAAAATACAGTTTCATACATATAAATTTTACAGTATAATAGTTACGAAAAATAGAGGCCATTGCACTTCATTCTCCCGTATTCTTGGCATTATTCAAGTTACTCTTTACGTTATATGCCCTGACTCTTCCTGTGCATTATTATGAACTTCGGTTATTTCGAAAAATTCCTTGCGCTATTGTATCAATCAAGATTTGGTGGTAATTATGTATTTCTATAAGATTCTCTAACGAACGTGATGTAATTCGCACTAATAATTTGACGCAGAAAAAATATGTAACAGTTCCATATACTATGAATTATGGCTTCTTCTGTTGAATATATTTCGTGATGAAACATTATTCAGAAGATGTGCAAATGGTGACCATTGACAATGTAGCCATCTCTTCTATCATAAATAACTGGCTGCGATCGTCTCTGACATCAATTGCGCATGGATTCACTACTAGATACACTAGGCGTAAATATTCATGCGAACAAAGTAAATATTGATGAAAATAATTATAAGGAAATCTATTTTTTGCCATACATTTCGTTTCGTGAAATACAAAATGCTGTATAATGAAGCTTTCTTATTATATATAAGCACCAGATCCATGTATCTATTATATTTTTTATTGCTATTAATCCGGAATTTCAAGGAACTATTCCTTCACGTCAATGAATGTACATATTTTTATTTCCTACCAAACATAACTTATTGCTACGCCCGTTGTACAAAATAACGGTATCTGCAATTCATCATGATTCGTATTAAAAATATTTCTCTTCACTCCTTCATGGCTGTTCCACGTTGCCAACTCCCTGAATTTCATCAAGATGTCTCTGTAGGCCACTTCAATCCCGATACACTTGACTCCAACCCATTAAATTGCAATGATGTAACCTTACTAAGCAGTCTGTTAATTTTTGGATCGATTGTAGTATGAGTTTTTGATGACTTTGTTTTTGACTTTTCACCGTGTACGGTAGTGTATCCATCAATTCGTGACAAAATCTACTATCAAGAGTGCTGTATCGCAAAAATTATGGCGAGGAGGAAACTGGAATTTGACGAAGATGTGCTTTAAACTAGTACCAATCATGAGGACAAATTTTACACGTGCCTTTATTTTAAACGTTTTTATGTCATAGATACCAGTAATTATGCGATGCTACCGAGCGAAGCGGATAACGGACCCAATGACGTAAAAGAGTATACGAAACACGTGCCTTATGGATTTTTTGACTCGTGGGATTGTAGAACTCGCTTTCGTCATGTGTTACAACCCTCCCATGAGTCAAAAAATCGACTACACAGTTGTTCCGTAATATGCTATTTATCGGAACTAAAACAAAAGATTTTCGAAATTTATGATTACCTCACGAGCATACATACAGATTTACATCGAAAATTTTCGGGTGTCAAAATTTCTAAGTCATTTCTGCCCTTAGTTAACAAATCGATTGAACGACCAGGGAAACCTAATGAACAATTGTATATGTGGTTAATATTAATTGGAAAATATTGGTGAAACAGTAATGAGGCGAACGATTTTGGCGGACGATATGCAAAATTTTCGAAGCAGACTCTGCTGTTGATGAACAAGGCAAACAATAAGAACAGCACACACGGCTCTATTAGAACGTTGACAATATAGGTTGGAACGAAAGTTGGACGGGTTCACCAGAATCGATCACCGGTTTCAGCCTGATTAATGAATGGAAAACGATAAGAGAAATTATAATTTAGGTCTAAGTAAGATTTGAGGAAATTTGTAATGCTTAATCTTGGTTATTTCGCTCAATATTTTCGCCAATTTTTCTCAGTATTTTCGCAATATTTAGTCTGTTAAAAACTAGGAAGTTCGATTTTTTCATTGGGTTAATTCGTCCTATATTGTTCGAATAAATAATTTTCATTTTTCTACTTCATTGTAGTGAGTGACTGATCAATTCCATCATTTTTTATAGTATACGGGGTTTAACGTATGGAACAGTACTATAACATTATAACAATACACTATAACAATATACACTATAACAATAAAAAATGAGGTTTTACGCCCTTTTGAAAGGAAAACATTTCAAAAGTCGTGATAACCCCCTAAATTTCGTTCCACAAGAGTAATGTAATGCAAATTGTCTATTTGAGTGAAGTAAATTGAAGGTTTTTGGCTATATCGAAAGAAACGCCCAGCCCTCCCATTGGTCATTGAAAAATAAAGATCAAACAGAATGTAGTGAGTTAAGACTATGAACAAAAATTAGTAGGGGGATTGGTGTCAAACCGATAGTGAGGATAAAGTCGACACACTAAAAGTTTTAAGTGTTCCGATTTTTTAAATTTTTCATTTCTTTCATTATGAAATAAAGCTTTTCCTTATCGTATGCTCTACCGAAATTTATGAGCGATTCAACCCCACTCCCCTTATGTATTTAGGGTGGAGGCCAAAGTCCCCAAAGGCGCAATGTCCCCAAATTTGTTGACATCGGGAGCAACTTCGGACTTGATAAAAACAAAAGAGAGACTTGTGTAGGGTCAATATTGCTCGAAGATATTAATTTTCTTTCGAGACTTGAGACAATTTTAAGACTTGAAAATGATTTACCAGGCTCAGATCTAAATTCATTTCGAGACTTGAAAATGATTAAGTGCTTTTCAAGTCTTGAGATAAATTCCGGGCAAATTGAGGACTTGAAAATCTCTCGATTATTTTCAAGTTTCGATATCAATTTAGTTCCAAATTTGTTCCAAGACTTGAAAATCACTGGATAATTCTCAAGTCTTGGGACAAATGCGGTACTGAATCATTAAATAATTTTTGAGTCTCGGGAAAATTCGGGACTGAATTAATCCCAAGACTTGTAAATGATCGACTGATTTTCAAGTCTTGGGAAAAATTGGAGACATTGAAGATTAAATTAAAACAATTGAAAGATTAAGGACTTGAAAATCACTTGATTATTTTCAAGTCTCGACATAAATTTAGTTCTAAATTGGTCCAAAGACTGGGAAATCACTTGATCATTTTCAAGTCTTAGGACAAATTCAAGACGAATTAAAGACTTGGAAATTCCTTGATTATTTCCAAGTTTGGGGACTTAATTCATCTCGAGACTTAAAAATGATCAAGAGGTTTTCACGTCTTGAGATAAATTCAGAAGGAATTAAATATTTAAGCCTGGAGATAAATTCAGTTATAAATTTGTGCCAACATTTGAAAATTCTTCGATAATTTTCAAGTCTTGGAAATACAAAAAAAAAGAGATTTTTCGATAGTTGACATGATCTCAATGATTCATTGGTGAGAAATAAATGTTTTAAATAATAATATCCAGTGCAACAATTTATTAGAACTCGTCTACAAAATAATGGCGCGGTGGCCGTGTCCGAAAATAAACTAAAATAATTATTATTTTGCTTTTTTAATAATGTCGAAGATAATTTAAATAGGTTGTAACAACACGCATGAATTTTTTGTGGGTCATCTTTCCTTCTGTTCGGGAGACCACGTAATCCTCGATTGCATCGAGTATTTCGGGAGGGATTAGATAAGTCCATCCTCCTTTTCCTGTTGCTCTCATTGTTTTGAGCTTTTCTACCCCCACAAGCTCGTTGAGTAGTCGCCGAATAGATGACGTATGGTCGTCAGCAACCTCATAGAGGATTTTCCTTAACCGGTGGGAACTTATGAGGACATCACTGCCTTCAATCAAGTGGACACGATCTAGACTCTCTTCTACCCCTGACGGTCCAGCGATTGGAGCCTCAGTGGCAGAAAGTCCAGTCTGTCCCTCTAGCTCGACCTCATAGAAAATCCAAATGTATTGTACCTGTAAGAATGTTCTGCCCCCTGTCCACCTATTTCCACATTTTTTTTGTAGATTTCTGACAAACCATGGATTGAATTGACGCGAAAAAAAACTATACCGTTTATGCGGTTTATTATTCTTTAATAACTTACGAACTTTTACGATGGTTGCACCACGAGGAAACTTCATGCGTTATTAAATAATCATAAATTGGAGAAATGGTATATCTTTTTGCGTCAATCGCATCGACAGTCTACTAAAAATCTACAAAAAACCTGAAAATTGGATGAAAGGGGATAGAACATCATCAATCTTACCGGTTGCGGAGGAGATCGCTGTGGTTTTTCAATTTCTGAAGGTGCAGGATGTGCCTCGTCGAGTGGCTTATTAGCACGTTCCTGAGATCCCGTCATTCCGGGAGGTTCAGGATTAACTCTCGACTCCTCAACAGGATTTATCTCATCCTGAAGTCCCTCGTATGCTGATCTCCTTGTCGATACTTGAGGTGTTGAGTCAATTCCCTCAGACAACACCTCTGAGCTCTCAGCTGTTGACACCGATGAATCAACAGCATCAACAGCACCTTTTTGCGTGGAGGAAAAAAATTAAATTGAAAGAATAAGGAACGATTCAATTTTTTTCGAATGTTCTATATTAATCACAGTCGATATTGGAAAAGAAAATTTGGGGAGAAAAAGAAAGTCTGAAATAAAATGGAACGAAAACCTGAAAGAAAAAATACTGAATGGAAAGCCGCCGGTTCCATGCCTCCAATCTGGGTAATTCGAGGCCGGGCTCGGTGACGAAGACCTAGAAAAAATTGGAGAAACACCTGAAAAAAAAAAGAATGAATTGATTCCGGTTCTGTGCCCACGAGCTGGGTAGCTCGGGTCCGAATCCGGCGTCTAAGACCTGAAAAAAAATGAACAAACACCTGAAAAGAAAAAAAAATGATTGGAAAGCCGCCGGCGCCGTGCCTACGAGCTGAGTAGCTCGGGGCCGGGCCTGGTACGGCTTGACTGAGTGAGGCGATAAAAAAAAAACAGCGGATTGAGAGTCATGAGTCAAACGTAAAAAGGTCGCAAATATTTTCCTCTTTTTTTTTTAAGAAAAATTTCTTTTCGTATGACAAAGACTCACTAGCCGGGGTTGGTGTTTCAGTGCTGGCCTGTTCCTCATCACTTTCAGGCGGAGGATTATCTTCAAAAAGCACGCCAGATATTTCTGCGCTTATCTCATCCACTTGCAAGGGCGTCTCACTGCTCAATGAGTCGTTACTTGATATGCTTAAGTCGCACGGAAATTCTGCAAACGCCAATTCGAAAGCTGGAGAACCTAGCGAGTTACTGAAAGACAGAGATGTCGATGATGTTGGAGTTCCTTGGTTCGCTGGCACTGCAGGCTCACTAGCAGAGGGGGATGTATCGGTGGAGCAACTGGACAACGGTTGTGCTGAGGCATCATATGTTTGCACTCCAGCAGAATCCAATGACTCTGAATTGAGGATTTCTCCCTTCGTTGATACCGTCATTTTTTCCAGATCCTTACGATCATCTGTCGAGTATCAAAATAGAATCAATAACTTGAAATTCTTTGAAATCATCAAATTACGACTTTTCTTTATGTGGAGAATAACTTACCGCTGGTTTTAATCAATCGCGCGACGTACTTCCGATCGTTGAACCACAAAACTTGGACTTTCGGTCTATTATCAATTAATTTAACGCGTTCAGATTCAATAACGGAATGCGTTTTGGGATTTCTCCCCGTGAAAAGCACGAGCGAAAACTTTTTCATGTCGGTGGTGAATGACAAGGGCAGAATGAAACGTAAACAAATGAATACATAAAAAGTGAAGTCGAAAAATTGGGTTCGTTATTCCATTCGAGAAGGGCAGGGCAGGGGTTCTGAAAAGAGAAAAAAATGAGGAATCATTTAAGGAAGAAGACAAGGAGAATAATCCAGTGGTTGAGCGGCGATCTGTCAATATGTAGTGATTTTACTCGATAATGAGTCATTCCAGGACAAACTCTCCGAAGCGAGTTTTGGCAAATGGAAGCATTGCAATCGTTCATATTTAAGTGGACAAATTTCAGAATTATATATAAGGGAGAGCGGAGCAAAATGAGTCGTTTCGACTTTTCATTCAAATATTTATAATTCAGTAACAAATACATAAAATGAGTCCAGTTTAAGCGCATTATAAAGAGGAAGGAATGTACTTTTCATAGATAAAAAAATATTAGTTTTGAGCAATAATTGAATAATTTATTCAAGAAAGAAGTTTCTACAGTCCCATTTTGTCCCGCTCTCCCCAATAAATTGTCCTATAATTGGAATTTGACGAATGGCAAGGTGCCACTTCGCCACTCGATCATTTTTTTTCGGATTTGATTGTCGAACATGTCGTAACTCGAACTGCACTAATTACACTTTCTTGACAATTAATTTTAGGCCCTTTGAATCTGTAGAAGGAGTAGATTGATAGAATACAGTCGACGGGTTTAGTTCCTTGGACTTTTCTGACTTGTACCCTACAGAAATAATAAAACGAAGTTGTACAAATACCTTTTGGGACTTGCAATATTTTACGTTTCTCGAAATTAATCAGAGTCGATGTTGCTGTTAGGTACTCATAAGGAGTAAATCTCTTCCGTTTTAATTTTTTGTGAATTCTATCAATTTCTTCTCCATCACTGAATCACCTAAGCGACATGTGCTTCGAAATTCGCCATTAACAATTATCGAATAATCGGATACCACTCGATTTTGTAATGAAGTGAGTTCACCTATCGATAAAAAAAATCCCCTATAATTATCAAAATCAATATTGAAAGTAGAAGTTACATTATGAGGGGGCACTCACTCGATTAGACTAAAAAAGAGGCAATTTTACATGTTAGAAACTGATAAATAAATCGATTAAGAATGTGACCATTCAAAAATGCCATCTCTCGTCCAGTCCCATCTAACAGTTTTTAAGGCCGGTAAAATGGCGCTAGCTGTGTAGCTCGGGGCCGGGCCCGGTACGACTAGATTGGCTTAGAACTCCAGGATTCATCGGATCTGTAGGCATCATGATGGATCCTGAGAAGGGAGGAGCGGGGTGGGGCTATTCGGGACAAGGCGTATATATCGAATTCAGAATTAATTGGGGAAAAAACGCAATTCGATTTTAGTGGGTGCAATGCTTTCACGGAATTGCGAAAATGTTTCATAACTACCCCCTCGTCATAAAGCTCATTTTAGTACGGGTGAAATCCCAAGGTAGAGGGTGTCTGCTGAGCCTCTGGTTCAAGGTCCTGTTCCAAGACTCAGCCGCGTTCTTCGTGCAACGAGGAGCTTTATAAACCGACCACTGTTCCGGCTTGCACTTCTCCATCCATTCACTGGTCACATATTCAAGGAAGTTGTCCATTCGTTGTTTTACTTGTGGATCAGTTATCTTCCTCTGAATCTCAGCGAATGCATTTTGAATGAACTTCCTCGGGAGAAAGGCAAGTGCCAGAATCAACACCAAGGAGCTCTGTACTCCATTGGCAATTTGCTTCTCTTTGTCGTTGATTTTTTCATTTTTCCTGTAGCGTTTCAGAGCTTTCTCCTTATATGCCTGCCTAATCATCGTCTAGAATAATGGTTCCACGACAAAAGCTACGAATATTATTGTTTTTCCGCGATTTTGAATACCTGATCCAGATGAAATTTGCACAGTACGAGAGATGCGGAGGGTATGACCTGTAACAATGCGTCCCTCCTGCATCTTCAAAATTCATGTGCACTTTCATCTTTTTCGTCAATTCTGGGGCTAATGCTTTGAAGACATATTCAAAAACTACGTAATAAGACTCGGTAGTCTTCCGCTCCATGAGTACATGAACGATGCACACAGCCTAGGAAATAGAATTCCAATAAAAAAAATTGAGCTGAAAATCAATTAACTGGAGGGCTTACTTGATCGAAGATACAGATTTGAATTTCTAGTATTTGTCGAATTTTCAAATTGGGCGCAACTGAATCGACGGTGGCATCAATGAAAAATGTCGCCTCGTCTCCCATATGATCAGAAACGATCCTCGCAATAAACTCTAAATCAGCTAAAACTACTGAAACATCCCCATTAACATCTGTAAGAACCTGTGCTGTCGTTCTGCCTCTCGAGTAAACGAGGTGGTCCTGTCCCTTTCCTTCTTTCAATTCTCGACTGAACTCTGCCAGAGTGGGAGGATATTTTAAATTTACATTCAACTTATAGCGTTTCATGGACCTCTTCTTGGAACGATAGGAGATGTGACTCGCTGTCGGATGGCTGAATTATTTCTCAATTATTATTATTTTTCATTCAAATACTCGCTGTAAAGCAAAAAGGAACGCAGTGAAACGAGTCGAGCCCTTGGTAGAGATCTCCATGGTTTTCCAGCGAGACAATAAATTTTTTTTTTACCCATTCATTATTTAAGACATCTCGAGATTTTGCTGCGTATGATCGACTTATACTATTGAATTTTTAAATCATTGACGGTAGAAAGTAAAATATTCTCCTGCGCTGCTTAGGGAAACTGACGAAAGAATCGAATGGAGGGAGTGTTAATGAGAAATAGCCAATGGGAAAAATTATAGGAGTGAAAGAGTAATAAATAACTACATAAATATAATTCTAGTGGTTGAAAGTCATCGGGAGATGGCCTATTGGAAGAAAAAGTATATTTGGTCACTAGGAAAAAAGAAAAGCTTCGTTCCACGGCCATAAAACCCTGCCTACGGCGTGAATAATGGAAAATATTGATCGTTACTCGACCAAAAACAAAGTTTCTGATCGTTATATTAGTAGTCCTCAACTGCGCCTCGGACTGCAAACTCATAATCACCAGAATATTTTTTTTCGGCCGGGTGACGAAAGATACTATTTAAAATTTCAGTATTTTGGTAGAATGCCTCACAGTTATGTAACTCGGGAGTCCAAGCGATGTTGGACCGAAAAAAACCTAACGAAATTGAAAAAAAAAACTTGAAAAAAAAAACAATGAGCGGAAAGTTACCGGTTCCGTGCCTCTGAGCTTCGGGTAGCTCGGGGCCGGGCCCGGTACAGCTGGATAGATTCAGGAATCATAGGAAAGTTTTACTCGCATGAAATCTACGGTGTTCTACGAATTTTTCTCCATGTCGAATAAAAAATAAGGGAGTAGTTCTGCATGCACTGATCGAATATATCCCGATTCCTTTTACCGTCGAGCTTTTCGGTCATTGTCTTCAATTCTTGGTTGAACATTTTTTTTCCTAGTGTCAAATCATCGGGATCGTGATTGTGCCCCTCCGTTACAGTCCACTGGCCATCTGTAATAGTCGCTTTGCCTTTACAGGGTTGGTTATCAGGCGCTGGTCTCCTTTTGTATTTGCAGACTATTTTTCTGCATTAAATATCACGTATGAAATTAATCCATCGAAAACCTTGTGGGATTGATCGACAAGCCATAAATTACATGGTGATAGAGGTGGTGGAGTGATAATCATAGTTGTGGCCCTCGTGGACGCTATCTTCCAACTGCTTCTGCCATTTCCTCTTTGTCCCTGGTAGAGCTTCGACTGAAGGATCACCTGGAGGATCTGGACACTGGATGTCACCGTTGACACTCATGCTTTCCCGCTGAAGCTTTTTCAATGGATTATAATTTATAATTCAAAGACGAAAACGGATTTTTATGCGTGTATACGAACACATTTATTCGTTTGCGAAAACAATTGCAAACTCAGCAATAACAAAAAAGTATGAAAGATTCTATGCGGGTTGAAGCATGATGTCGATGATTTCTCTCTTCAAAATTGACTTCATTTGTTGATCAACCCTTGATCTCGCATAGATTCAC